TAAAGGTTAATGATTTCCAGTGTGTTGTTATCTAGTGCTTCGGGCTAATGAGAGAGTAATGGAGAAGGTAAGATGTGGGAGTGTTTTGTTGTCATGTGGTGTTTCAAGTTGGGGCAATGGAGTGGTAGAAAATGAGAGCGAGGGGAAAACTAGGGAGTTCGATGTTGAGAAATGAAATAATAAAATTAAGAGAGAGAGAGAGAGAGAGAGAGAGAGAGAGAGAGAGAGAATAACAATTGACAAACTACATTGCCTGAAAAACATTAAATTCATGCTTTTTTACTATAACATATCATTAAGCATGCTAAACAAAGCATAAAAAAGCATATTACAAAGTTTTACAAATCTTGAGGAAATTCTTTTATGCACAAATTATATGCTTCATCTTTCACGCACACACACAAACACGCACGCACGCACGCACGCAATATACATACATACATACATAAACATATACATATAAATATTCAGATACAAAAAACTTATCTACAAATAGATAACTAAATCTTATGCTTGCATATATCAAGGAGTAAAGATCAAAACATGATTATGATCATGATCATGGGCATATATCAAGGAGTAAAGATCAAAACATGATCATGATCATGATCATTATTATGATGATGATGATGATGTCTCTTTTTTGTGTGTTGAGCTCATATTAGACTCGATAATAAATAAGCGGAACAAATAAAAAGTTACAATTAAAACAAAGATAAGCAAACTAATCCTCAAATCCTACCTAAACTCAAGAAAATACAAAAAAAATTAAATTAAATTAAAAAAAATTCCAATGTCAAGCTAATCCTCATCGGAACTATCATAAGCTATCCCTAATAAACTTTTAGCTGGATTCTCCATATTAGAATCCACACCTCCGATGGGTCTTGTTGTAGTGACTGATGAATCCTTCATAGGGCTCCTCTCAGTGCTGGTAGGAGATGAGACTAGAAGCGACTTTGACAGACCTCCAGTTGCGTTTGATGAAGAAGAGAGCTCAGCTGTGCCAGATGGCTCAGATGGGCTTGCTACTCTCGGCTTTTTTGGCTTCACTTCCACAATTTTCTTTAATAGATCTTGCTGCCTATAATTCCACATACAAAATAAGGGCAAGTAAATTTATGCTTCCTTTTTTTTAATTTTTTTTTGGGTGGTGGTAGAAAAAGAAGTTTGAATGAAAAAATCGATATATTCTTTTTCTAATTTTCTCAGAATTTATTTTGGAAAACAGAAATTTGAAAGAGCATGAAGAGATTGACTAGTGGATTCGTTTGTGTTAGCGTATGCTTTTCTGTTTTAATCATAATTTCTAGCGGCATTTACATACATACCACCCAATTCCCCAATTCTAATACATACCACCCAATTCTAATGTATTTACATATCTAACACCTAAGTTTTATTTTTATTTTTATTTTTACATTTATATCAACAAAAAATCTAACATGCCACATCAAAAATACCACTATTTCAACTTTTAAAAGATGAAATACACCTTCTCATGCATTGGTAATACAACATACATGTAAAACTGAAGTTTAGTAGTTAGATATGTGAATACATAGGAATTAAGTGATGTGTAAATCTTCTTAATTTCTATTACGCTTTCTCAAAAAATACTTTTTTAAATATAAAGTGAAAACAAACAAACAAATAACTACCTGATGTTAGCTGGTTTTCCTGCCAAAAAAGACTAAAAAATGTGTCATAAGATGTAACTTTTAAAAAAGAGGCATTTACATACACACATACCAAGGAGTCCCTATGCATTTACATATCTAACACTTACATATATACCACCCAAATCTTTCATATTGCTTAAGAAATACCACCATTTTAACTTACAAAAAGTGAAATACACCATTTCATGCATAGGGTAAGATGCTTGTAAAATTGAAGTTTGGGTGTTAGATATGTAAATTTCAAACTACGAAAGTCAAGTTGAACATAAAAACGGCCGACAGACTCCCATGCAAAACTAGAAACTTTAGTTATTAGTTATTACTTATTACCTGATACCGCTCTTTGGTTTTGGTTCAACTCGCAGCGGTAAAGGCAAAGATGGAGGAGTTGAATCTGCTAAACTAGCTGCTTTGTGAAAGAAAAAAAAATCAAAATTAGGAATGGAGAAAGAACGAACAAAACAAGGAGCAGTTTGGGTGCAAAAGCCTATCTTAAAAGCAGCAAATGCCCGTTTTTCTGTGCGACGCAATAAGCGCTCTGCATCTTCCTCAGCTTCCATTTGTTCCTTAAGGTAGAGTAAGTCATCACTGTCCAGAGCTGCAGAAGAAAATAGTGAAAATAACAAAATTGCTCAACTTAAAATAATTATAAATTTTGGAAAAAAAAAAAAAAGAAGGTACCCCCTCGCCCATGAAGATATCCTCCTCGTTCTCCGGCAACCTCCTGCATCTGACGGCATTAATTGCCCCAAAGAAGCCAAGATCCCTGCCGGGGCATGTTATCAGAAACACTAAATAACGGCTGTATGAGAACAATCATCTAGTTTATGAATAACACATGATTGAGAGAGAATATAATTTAAATCATATATTCATCTCCTGATGTCTATTATTATGAAGTGCTGCGTTGATATTGGAACTAGATTTTCATCATCATAGAAAGGGCCATTCAATTCCAAATTAAAAATATATCAGAAGTCTGTCCTCTGTCTTGAATACATGAGTAATCCTGGGATGGGAGTTAATAGAACCATAAAGGTAAAACGGTTTCAGGTATCTAATCAGGCAAATTTAGCTAGAGTTCATAAGAAAATTTAGCTAGATTTAGGTTTGACCCAAATTTTAAGATTTAGGTTTGGGTGTAGGGACACATTTGGTGGAGGTAGAAGGATTAGACTTTGAAATTTGGACGCGGAGGGGTATTGGATTGGTGAGAAAATACATGTTTTAAAAGGCTCTAATATCAAATTACGCTAATCTAAGTTTTCTATATGGAGTATAAGGATCAATAAAAGGATTGAGAGTAATTGTAAAAAAAAACAGAATGGAAAAACTAAAAAAACATAAGATTTGGATAGTAGAGGGTGGCTACCACTGTGCTCGTGGAAAACAGAGAAAATAAGGGAGGCTGATATTTATATAGAAGGGATATTAGCACCAAGGAAAATTCACCATCTATTCCTGATCAAGTTACAGGTATACCACTTGAAAAGAAAGAGGATAAAACACTCCAAATTGGAGAAATGCTTGAGAAAATTTACCAAAAATGATGAAGGAATTGTTTCAATTAATTTCATTTTTTAAAAGGGTCAATTTAGGGTGGCTGCAGTCGTTTGTAAAAACTACTCTAGAATTATTGTGGGGAGAGTAATTTTTCTTTTAAATTATTGTGTATTATATTTTTCTCTTCCTGAAAAGTAAAGCATCATCTTTCTTGTAGCTAGCAAACTCTAGAAGATTTAAATACAAAAAGTGGTTTCTTACTAATTTTCGTATAAATTTTCTAAATGTAGGAACAAAGCTATAGTTAAATAAGAGTGTGGTTGCTACTGAAAAGCAAAGTTATGAAAAGATTGTCCCGAAAAGATCCTAAATATACTATTTAGAATACAGTACTTCAACTCAAAGAGTAATGGTAACAAAGAAGTTAAAGTGGATAAAAATGAATCATCAATATTAAACAATATATAAACAAAATACATCGGACTTCAATCTTTTTGAGATTACTGATTATATCAAGTGTTAAGAAATGCTTGAAGTGAACGGTATAAGCATGCATGTAAAAAACATGAAATATAAATAACACAAAATAGCCTAAATTATACCACATGATGTAAAGATGATGTAGTTCTTATGCTACTAACATAGGTATAAACAATGAAGTAAAATAGTGAGCACTCTATTTATATGTACGTAAAATAGTTTATTTGTTAAAATTTTGAATTTATTCAAAATTTTAATTTATTTTGAAATTATTTATCTTTATTTCATTTAAAGAAAGTTTATATATGACATTTTCATCATCTCAAGTCTATCCCAAAGCGATCTTTCAATCTCCCATACAAATGTGAGCAGAGAGAACCACATCAGTCCCCTACAAAGATGAAGACTGGAGCCATTAATCCCGATGCAATGACTATTGCCTCCTATGAAAACCATACTCATTAATGTCCAAAGAAACCGCGAGTTGTCATCAAACCAAAACTGAGAGTAGTTATTCTCATGCATTTTCTTCCACTAATATACTTCGATTTATTGGCTGTTTAATGCTTAGTTTAACTTGAACTAATTCATTTGATTACTATTTACAAGCAATGATGTCGCTTTGAATTTGTTTGATTATTGTTTTTTATGTTATTCATTTTGTATGACTATCATCTTATTGTATGTTGCAATACAATATTTATTAGCAAGAATTTATTTATTATCATTTTATTTTAAGGAATAATAATCATGAATATAATATATTCAATACAAGGAAGAAGAGCAACGAGAGCAATAAATCTTTATCTCACTAAGTGGAGTGAATCTTTTTTCTCCATTATGTCCTATTGAGTGTCATAATCAATAGAAATAAGAAATTAAACGAAAAATCATATTATGTCAAACTTCTAAAAAAGCTCCTGGATAAAGATATTGTTTTCAGAGATGGAGAACGTTAATATATGTGTGAAATGAGTTGTTTTTTGCATAGATACAAACGGAGGAATTGATTTCCATATGCAAGCTTGACTGAGGGCTATAGAAATTTCAATTAAATGGTAGTTTTCCACAGCATGTGAAATACAAAATACAAGAAAATATGAGTAAGAAGTTAAATAATCATGACAGACAAATAATGACCTTTCAAATATAGGCCAGCCAAAAAATGGCCATATATTAAATCCTTCAATCCATAAAATCCAATCGCGCTTCAATATTTAAAGGTTAAGGTAAAAAGGCCAATGGATAACAACTTTATTCCAAACCAAAGAAAAAAGAGACAAAAGCAAATGGAAAAACAAGATAGAAGAAGAAGGTTGTGGCAAGGAAGGAGGAGGAAAAAATTGTAATGCAAGGATCCAATCAAAGTTGAGGAGCATGAAAGTTTTCCGGCAATTATAGAAACTATTTGATAACTTAATCCTTATAATAAAACCTCCAAAATGCTATGAGGCCTGAATCTCTTATTTGCAAAATAGGTATACTACTCACAAAATTGTTGAAAGATCATAGAAAGCACTGCTTTGGATATGATTGTAAACTAATGAATGACGATTGAACATCTTGATTTTGATTTCAAACTTTTTTTATTAATTATCCAAAGGAAGCGACATTTATAAAGTCAAATGATACTAGTTATTATATAGATTACCATAAAGATGACTGAAATTAATAAGTAAATATATCAAAGAGTTTGGAATACGCTGTGCTACGCCCATAACAGGCGTAACAGGACCGGTTCTCTTCTGGACCGGTCAAAAACCACACGCTCGCTGAACAGATAGCCAGTCCTCCAGAGAAAAGTCTGAGCGGCCAATTGAAAAAACCACACGCTCGCTGAACAGATAGCCAGTCCTTCTCCAGAGAAAAGTCTGAGCGGCCAATTGCCACAGCAGAAGAGATTAAGGTCCACTAGGGCTTAAATCACATGCTCAAAGAGGAGGAATCGAGGGAGTTTGAAAGAAAAGTGTGTCATGAAAGTTTTCAAATGTTGTAAGGGGGATTCTATCAAGAGGAGGAACCTAAGATTTTTTTTCTTTCCGCATGTTTTTGTTTGGTTTTCGTTTTCTTTCTTCTTGTAGTGTTCCTAGCAATGTCTAGCATGTGGGAGAGACAATCTACCTCTTGAAAAGTTGATCATCCTTGTATCTTGTTTGTTTTCGTTTCATTTTCGTAAGAGCAGCCCATATTGGTGTTTTTTTCCACATATTCATTGTCGTTTCGTCATGGTTTGTTCGTTGATTTTGGTCCTGAGGCGTATTAAATTGGAATCAAAGCATAGATCTTGGTGGGATGGCAGCAAAAAAAATAGATGCGCTGGAAGAAGAGGTAAGGTAAATCAGATTTGAAACAGTAAAGCGGTTCGCCGCCATGGGGACAGGTTTTCTTTCATTGAAAGTTGAATGGAGAATGAATTTGAGAGCATAAGAGAAATGCGGAAGATGATGAAAAAGCTCATGGAGATGTAATACAAAGTTGTACCGATCGCTCCAATTACAAACCATAACCAAGGGTTGATCAGAGACTTTTTGGCTAGGTCAAAAGAGAAGAGATCGAGCGAGAACACAATGAAGAAGACATCATCTACCTAAAAGAGCGCCTCCCTATGACTCCGTGGAGAGGAGTGGAGGGGCATGGGCCTTAAATTGGAGGAGGGATGGTATAAGGAATACGGAAGAGCACAATGGAGGAAGGAGGGATGGTATATGGAATACGGAAGAGCACAATAGAGGAAGGAGGGATTTGGGAGTAGGATGTGCCTATGACCGAAGGAAGGAGTTTCACCCTAGATACATGAAGGGAAACACTCGAGAAAAAAGAGGTTGGGGTGGAGATGCGAGGGTCAAAAAACTGAAAAAAGCCGATCTTCGAAGGGGATGATGCGCATGGGTGAGTGTATCAGGTGGAGCAGTACTTTGCAATCAATGGATTAACTGAGGAAGAGAAGCTCGTGGCAGCGGGAATATGCTTCGAGGGGAAAGATTTTGCTTGGTTTAAGTGGATGGAGGCCGGGTATCTGATGCAATCATGGGAGAAATTTAAGGATTGCTTGTTGGAGCGTATTCAAGTCATTCGGGAAGGAGACCTACATGAGCGATTCTATGGTTCGACTCATGAGGGAATGGTTATGTAATATCGAAAGAAGTTCGAGCTCTTGTCAGGGAGGTTGAGGGGTATTTCTGCAACAAAATTGAAAGAAAACTTCTTGAAAAATCTAAAGTCCGACAACCGAGCAGTCATCCAACCTTTTAGAGTGCATAGATTTAAAGAAATGGTGGAACTCGCCCAGATGATGAAGAATAAGAAACAGGTGAAGAAGACCAGCAATTGCGGCAACACCGAAGGATTCTACAATAGCACTTTGACAATCACGACACCGAGGACCCAGACGGTGTCATAACATAAATAGACGTCGAAGGAGAAGAATATAGGAACCCGACCAGGGAGTAATTTCAAGCACCTCACAGATGCAGAAGTGTTGAATAAAAAAATAAAAGAATTGTGTTACCGTTGTGATGAGAAATATGCTCCGGAACAACGTTACAAAGAACATGTCATTCAGATTCTTTTAGTTCAAGAAGAGGATACAAATAGTGAGAAATTAGAGGAGGCGATGGAGGACCAACTGTATTTGGATGTGGTAGAGGTGTCCCTCAATTCGGTAGTGAGATTTACTCTAAATCACAGCATGAAGGTAAATGGGCGGATCGGGGAACAACCAATTATGGTGTTGGTGGATAGCGGGGCCACACAAAACTTCATCTCAAATCAGGTTGTAGAGAAGCTAGGGTTAGAACTGGTGACTAGAGAGTTTCGACGTCATGATGGGGACAGAGAAGGTGGAGAAAAGTCGGGGAATTTGTAAGGGATTGGTTCTAACACTGTATAGCCTACAAGTAGAGGAAGACTTCCTTCCATTAGATTTGGGCATTACAGATTGATTTTGGGGATGAAGTAGTTGCGAATGCAAGAGAAGATGAAGGTGGATTGGAAGTCTCTGACGATGGAGTTTCAGGTGGAGGGTGGGAATGTGATGCTGAGAGTAGATGTTGATTTATGCAAAACTATGGTGTCACTCAAAACCAAGGTCAAGTCAATACGGGGAGTGAGCCTGAGCTACTTTGTGGAGTTGCAAAGCATTGAGAAGATTCAAGACTTAGAGTTGGCAAAGTTTCCTGAAGGGGTCCAACAGCTCCTACAACAGTTTGCGGATGTCCTCCAACAGCAAAGTGGGTTACCTCCCCCGAGGGAGCACAAGCACACTAATACCTTAAAAAAGGGTGTTTCCCCATCATCGTGAGACCATATAGGTACTCCCAGATTCAGAAAAATGAGATGGAGAAGTTGATCTAAGAGATACTCGATGTAAGGATTATCAGAACTAGTGTGAGCTATTTCTCTAGTCTTGTCCTGTTGGCGAAGAAAAAAGATAGTTGAAGATTCTGCATGGACAACCGGGCTTTGAACAAGGAGACGGTGTTGGGCAAATTTCTTATTCCTGTGATTGATGAGTTATTGGATGAGCTTTATGGAACAGTCATTTTCTTAAAAATTTATTTTAAGTCGGGTTACCATCAGATCAGAATGAATCCAACAGATATGCACAAGACACATTTAGGACATATGAAGAACATTATGAGTATTTAGTGATGTTGTTTGGCCTCAACAAAGCCTCGACAACATTTCAAACCCTCATGAATATGTTTTTTCAACATTATCTCAGAAAATTTGTCCTAGTTTTCATTGATTACATTCTGGTCTATAGCTGTACATAAACAAACATGTGGGGCATCTAAGGACAGTCTTGAAGACGTTAAGGGAACACCAGTTGTATGACAACTTGAAGAAACGTTCTTTTGCACAACTGCAAGTGGAGTATCTAGGACATGTGAAAACCAGAACAGAGGTGGCAGTTGATCAGTTCAAGATTGAGGCTATGGTTGATTGGCCCTTACCAAGGAATTTGAAGGAGTTGAGAGGATTTTTGGGTCTCACCGGCTACTAACAAAAGTTTGTGAGGGGACATGGCAAAATAGCATGAACACTGATGGGACAGTTGAAGAAATATAATTTCAAATGGGGGGATGCTACAATACATGCATTTAAACATCTGAAGAGGGCCATGACTAGAGTCCCGATAAAAGCACTTACAAATTTCAATAAACCATTTGTGGTGGAGAAAGATGCGACAAGGTACGAATTGGGAGCAGTGCTTGTGGAGGATCAACGGTCGATTGCCTACTTCAGCCATATTTTTAAGACCAGAGCGAGGCTAAAATCAATATATGAACGGAAATTGATGGCAATTATCTTGGTCATCAGAAGTGGCGGTCCAACCTGTTATGATGACATTTCTGGTTAGGACAAATCGAAAGAGTTTAAAATATCTTCTAGAGCAGCGGATGGTGACTGAGAAGCATCAGAGATGGTTACCGAAGCTACTTGGGTATGATTTTGAGATTCAGTACAGTCATGATTGGAGAACAGGGCAGTTGACGCACTGTCAATTAAAGGTAGAGGAACCCCAATTGGTGGTCTTATCAGTACCCTAGGACCTAGATTGGGAAGTCTTAAGGCAGGAAAGCGAAAGAGATGAAGAGCTGAAAAAAATAAGAGCCGAATTACTATACGATCCCTACAGTCATCCATGATATGCATTGAGGGGACAGCAGCGCTCCACAAGGAGTGATTCATGCTACCCAAGATGTCGAAGTATATTACCAGATTATTACAAGAGTTTCATGACAGTGCAAAAGGCTGAATTTTTCCCTCAGGTCCCCGTACGGTGCGCTACGTCCGCTATCCAAGCAAAAGACGTCATCTGGTCATGCGGGACATATATTTACGAGTGTTTTGTCGGTCAGGAGACCTGACGGTCTGCATGGTATGCTGACCAGTAAAATTTTGCCGCGTGGAAAATGTGGGACCCGCGGCCACGAAATTTTAAAAAAAAAAAATCGCTGAGGCCAACCCCGACCGATGTACGAGCTCGCGTCTATTCGAGTACCGCACATTTTAGAATGTCGAGAAAGACGATTCAAAAATACTCTCCGGTGGTTTTTCTTCTACGTTTTCACCGCTCGCTCTGCTAGGATTTCACATTTCCCTCGTTCGCTAGGTTGGAAGCCGTGAGACGATGGCGTTTGATGATCTGGAGTATGCGCCGGCCGAAAAAAGCTCAAGAACAGTATCAGAAGAGAGTGAGAAGACAGAGGTTGGGAAGAAACCGGGGTGTGAGCAGCCAATGAAGTCAAAGAAGCAGCGGAAAAAGGAGGCGAAGAGGATGAAGGAGGGCAAGGGGAAAACTTGTCCTGATATTTGTCATCGTTTTATTCTTAGGTTGTTTTTAGGTTACTAATTTGATTATTATTGAGTTATTCTTGAGTTACTCTGAAACGTAGTACTTATTGGCAGCTATTCTATGTTATTCATGTGTTATTTTTAAATTATTCCTAGGTTATTTATAAGTTAGGCGTATCTTACTCGTTGGTTAAACCTGGGTTATTTTTAGGTTATTTGTAGGTTATTTTTCATGTTATTCGTAGGTTATTCTTGGGTTATTTTAAGTTAACTCGTGGGTTATTTTTAGTTTATTCTCAGATTATTCCTGGGTTATTTTTAGTGTATTGTTTTGTTAATTTTGAAGTAATGCGTAGGTTATTTTTAAGTTATTTGC